GATACTGATACAGGAAACCTTAATTGTTAAGGTTTGCAACTGTGCAGTTAATTCAGGTTAGCTTGAAAAAGAAAAACCCTGGTGGAATTCTTTCAGTTAAAACAAATAAGCATGTTGTACTCTGCTTGGAGGGGTCAGAGACAGCTTTAGGGAAATGGGGACATGCTGGAGCTGGGTCTTCAAGGAACCTGCCTGGCCAGAGTGGGCAAGAAAGGAGGAGATCTCACAGGTTTAAGGGAAGTTGAATTCATTTAGAGCATTGAATGCTTTTTAAAACTTTTCTTCCTTTGAGAGCCTCCTTTACACTTTTTTACTTGATAGGATAATCACAATAGCAGCTTCCATGTTGCCCTTTCTAACTAGAGTTTCTGTCTCTACTAATCTGTTATGTTATTGTTTTATAATTTTCAGAAGACCACTTTCACTGTTGAGGAACTTTTAATGATGTTTTGTTTCCTGTACAATGATAAAGTCTGTTCCTTGACTTTTCAGTCTTCCATTATCTAGCTACACCCTGTGTGTAGATGAAATCAGAAAATAAACGTGTGCCCATTGTTATGCATGAACAATCCCTGCTTCCTATCACTCTGTGCACAGGCTCCTATCCTCTTTCACCTAATTGCTCCTAAATTGTAACCTGTCTTCCTACATCTTTAGTTTTCCTTTCTATTAGATGCTTCCCATCAGCATGTAAACATGCTGTAATGTCTCTAAAAAAAAACCCCACCACCAAAACTTCCTTTGGTCCTGTATTCCTATCTATCTGCTGCCTTCTTCCTTTTTATAAGTAAAACTTCTTGGAAGAGCTATATGCTCTCTGTTTTTACATCCTTTTCTGTCATTCCGTAGCAAGCCACTCTGATCATGTTTTTCTGCTCTGTTCCACCTGACCAAGTCAGTGGTCAGTTCTCATGCTACCCATTAGATCTATCAGCATTTTACACTATACTACATTTAAAATCCATTGCTGACCAGGTGTGGTGACTCATGCCTGTAATCCTAACACTCTGGGAGACCAAGGTGGGAGAATTACTTGAGGTCAGGAGTTTGAGACCAGCCTGAGGAAGAGTAAGACCCTGTCTCTACAAAGAGATAGAAAAAAATTAACTGGACGTGGTGGTGCTTGCCTATAGTCCCAGCTCTACTCAGTAGGCTGAGACAGGAGAATCGCTTAAGTCAGGAGTTTGAGGTTACAATGAGCTGTGATGATGCCACTACACTCTGGCTGGGATGACAGAGCGAGACTATGTCTCAAAAAAACAAAGAAAAATCCATTGCCCTAGTATAGCCTTGTAACACCCTATAATATTCCACCCAGCATAATCTCACATCTTTCTCCCCCCATAGCTCATTACTCTCCAGCCAAATGGTCTTTTTTCTGCTTCTTTCATTTTGTGCAACTGATATATACTATCTTGGCTTATTTTCTGAATTTTATATTTAATTCTGTTTGTACTTACCTATAGTTTGTAAATGCAATTTCATTTTCAAGATTTGGAAATAAAACCAGAACAACTTCTAGCATGACTTAAAAAAGGAATCACCTCTTCAATGTGGCTTTTGGTTGTTTCACTATTAAATGTGGAATCCTAGGATAGACTTTACATATTTGAACTTTTAAAACATTTTACTAATGAATTTCTTTTTAATTTATTTTCCAAATATTGAAAAATTCTATGTTCATTGAGGTTTTTGGAAAGATTAATTTTGGTGATTTTTTTTTACATAAAACATACTGCAAACTGTTGTTTCAGAATGTAAAACATTAAGTCTTATCTCTGATTTTAAAATTTTAATAAAGTTGATACAAATCAACCCAGTAGAAATTTAAAATGGTTATATCATTAAGGCTCAGTGTTAAAGTGTGAATACTATAGTGCTTATGCCAGCATGAAATCAGTTATGTCATTCAGTCACATTGCAAAGATTATGGGCAGGTTTCATTGATTCCCATTAATGTGATATGTTAGTCTTTATTCTAAGTAACAGATAGAGCAGTGACAAATCAAAGCCCCTACCTTTGTGAGGATCATCTTGTCATGGGCATACAATGATAAGAAGTAAGTGATAAGAAGAAAGATAAAGTAGGGAAGGGGATAGTGTGCCATTAAGTAGGGTAGTCAAGAAGACCCTTCTTATTAAGGTATTATGTGCTAAAAACTAAAGAAAAGCCATTTAGATATCTGGTAAAGAATGCTGCAAACAAAGGGAAAGAACAAATGCAAAGGCTATTGAGCAGTAACATGCTTAGCTGTTTGGGTAGCAAAAAGGAAATGTTTTAAGCAAGAAGGAAATTAGGAAAAGATAAGGTAATCTTTTAGAGCCCCCCCCCTTTAAAAAATTTAGTCTCTCCTCTTTCAAAAATAAAATTTATGGTGTGCCACTATTGACATGGTACAATTTATTTGCTGATATGTTAGCCAGAAACACATCTGTATGCCCATGAAATAATGAGAAAACATTTTGTTTCACTTTCTGAAAACTAAGTGATATCCCCATCTTTTCTCAATGTACTTTCTCCTCACTAGGAAAACACACAAAGTATAAGTGTAAGAGGCATCAGATTTATTCCAGGTCCTCCTGGAAATAAGGATCTTTGTTTTACTTGGCGTGAGTTTTCTGACTTTATTCGAGTGCAGCTAATTTCTGGACCTCCAGCTAAACTTCTCCTAATAGACTGGCCAGAACTAAAGGAGGTAAGTAACTTCATGTCTTAACTGAAAGAATTTAATAGCACATGGCTTATTACTTTCAAATTGTCAGTGGATCAGAACAGGTATATTTTGTTGTTAAAGTAACAGCAAACAATCTTAACTAACAATAACAAGAGAGCAAGGTACTGTGTCTTAATACTTCATTATTTAATTCATCAGTGTGTCCTAGTTCGTTAAAAATTAGTGTAATAATTCAAATCTGAAAACCTATGTTATAGAAATTTTCAAACATGCATAGAAGTAAAAAGAATAGTATAAACCTCCATGTGCCTACCCAGTTTCAGCAGTTACTGATTTTTCCAATTTTGTTTGTTCTCTCACACTAACTTAAAACCTTTTTGTTAGATTTTAAAAAAGCGTATCTCAGACATCAAGCCATTATACCCATAAACACTTCAGTGTGCCTTCCTATTCAAATACTTAAATCTTAAATACTAATTTTGCAGATAGCTGTCAAATCCTACTTGTGTTGATTTTTTTACTTAATTGTTAGAATTCTAATTTTACTTTCTAACATTTTATTTATTTTTTAATTTACAAATAAAAATTGTACATATTTATCCTGTACAACATTCTGAAATATGTATACATTGTAGAATAGCTAAATTGAGCTAATTAACATATGCATTACCTTACATACTTATTTTTTTTGTGATGAGAACACTTAAAAATCTACTTTTAACAATTTTAAAGAATATAATATGGTATTAACTATAGTCATTATGTACAATAGATTTTTTGAACTTTGTCCTCCTATCTTATTGGAATTTTATATCCTTTGATAGAATTCTAATTTTTTTTGAGACAGAGTCTCACTCTTTTGCCTGGGCTAGAGTGAGTGCCATGGTGTCAGCCTAGCTCACAGCAACCTCACACTCCTGGGTTCAAGCAATCCTGCCTCAGCCTCCCGAGTAGGTGGGACTACAGGCGTGTGCCACCATGCCCGGCTAATTTTTTTTTTCTGTATATTTTTAGTTGTCCTATTAATTTCTTTCTATTTTTAGTAGAGACGGGGTCTCGCTCTTGCTCAGGCTGGTTTCGAACTCCTGAGTTCAAACAATCCGCCCGCCTCGGCCTCCCAGAGTGCTAGGATTACAGGCGTGAGCCACCGCGCCCGGCCAGAATTCTAATTTTTAATGTTCAGATTCTGGCATTCAATTATGGTATAGCAGGGCTTTAACTGTTAGTATGATAATTAACATTTTTTTTAAAAAGGACAGTGAACTTACCTAATCATGGTAGTAGATGAAATTATTCTAGTAAAGGAACAGGTCATCTAAGAAAAGTTAATAGTGTCTTGACCAAAGGGTTTCACTGAAAAGCCAGTGCATCTATTTTTTTCTGCGAGCATTTATACAACAAATTAACACATTTCTTTACTCCTATTGATGGCAATAAAGGATTTGTTGGTTGACTATAATCTGGAACAATTTTTAGTATTTTTAGTAGAGATAGGGTCTTGCTCTTGCTCAGGATGGTCTCAAACTCCTGAGCTCAAGCAATCCTCCCACCTCAGCCTCCCAGAGTGCTAGGATTATAGGTGTGAGCCACCACGCCCGGCCGATTGTATACTTTTGAGGTGGAAAAAACCTTGACATATTCATCTTTTTGTATGGTTTTGAGGGTTTATAAAAGTAATAATATTTTAGCTTAAAAGTTTATTATAAGATTTATTTGGAGATACCATAGTAATCCAGAAACTTTAAAAATAAAACATAAGCCAATTTATCAGTCTATTAAGAAATATGGTTATATAGAGATAAGGCTGGAAAAGTGATCATTTAACATGTGATTTTTTTCCTAGAGTTTCCTAATTTAATTCCTGACCCACCTTCCCCTCATAGAATCTGAGTGGCAGAGGAGAACTGATATAACACCTAAGCATGATAAATAGAAATAAATATATAAATATGCATGTATATTATTTTATAAATGAGGAAACAGAAATTCTGAAATGTTAAATAACATACCAATATTAAAAAGTGACAGGGCAGATTTATATTCATGAACATTTGATTTTGGAAATTGTTTTTTATACTGTTTCCTGGAAAACTTTATTATTATCAACTTTGCTATAAGTTATTTACTGAAAGGTATTTTTTAAAAGTAGTTAGGAGTCCTTTAAAAAGGATATCCTTTAAAGTTAGTTAAGGTAGACAGTTATGTGATTAGGAATAAATTACCATATGTTTTCATTTGGAAACTGTCAGTACTTGTCAGAATTCAAGCTTTTTTATACACTTCGGCAGATGGAATATTAGTCAGCTGTAGCTGTGTAAATGTTATGGTGCACAGCATTATAACTAAACCAATCTCAAGGGGCCTTTTTTTCCCACACGACAGACAGGGTCCCTGTTGCCCAGGCTAGAGTGCAGTGGTGTGATCATAGTCCACTGCAGCCTCAGATTCCTCCTGGGCTTAAGCAATCCTCAGCCTCCTGAGTAGCTAGGACTATAGGTGCTTGCCACCATGCTTGGCTAATTTTTTATATTTTCTAGAGATGGAGTCTTGCTGTGTTGCCCAGGCTGGTCTTGAACTCCTGGCCTCAAGTGATCCTCCTGCCTTGGCCTCCAAAGTGCTGGGATTACAGGCATGAGCCACCATGCCTGGCCTTTTTTTTTCCCTTAATGTCCTATCTATAACACAGAGTTAATTTTTCACCCCATTTCCAGCAACCTCCTGCCATAATTTGGTAACCACCTACCTCAGATAAGAGTAGGGGGTGGAAGAAACAAAAGGAACATTCTCAGTAGGAGAGAGCTTTCCTTTTTCACTCTTTAGTTTTCTTTCATCTCCTTTTTTTTTAACTTTTAAAATCTGACACAGAGGATTGGGGCTTTGTCAGGTTATCCTGGTTAATAATGTGTTTCCTTTGATATGCCCAATATTAATAGGTCAACAGGCAGATTCCTAGAATTACACAAGCTTTAAAGTTAGCTAGGGAAAAAGCAAGAACCATTTTAAAGTCAACAAGACAGTGTAGATAAGTCATCAGTGAGTAGTCCCATTTATCCAAGGGCTAGAAAAAGCTGGATTACTCCTTAATATATAATGGCAAAGAGCTGAAAATCAACTGAGAGAGGAGCTTCACTACAGATTGCCAATGCTAAATCTGAGAAGCAAAGATAAGCTTCTCTTTCTATTGAATAAGTCACACTAGTACTTAAATAGCATTTGCATTGTATTAGCTATTATAAGTAATCTAAAGATGATTTAAAGTATATGCATGGGTTATATGGAAATACTGTGCCTTTTTATGTAAGTCACTTAAACATCTGAGGATTTTAGTATCCACCAGGGGTCCTGGAATCAATATCCTGCAGAAACTGAGGGAAGATTGTAATGTCAAATGCTGCTTTTTAATCAAATTATTAATCATTTCTATAACAGGATCATTTGTAACAACTTAATTGGATTTTTAAAAGTTTATTTTCATTGATGAAAACCATGTGTGAATACAACAGAGATAAATTAAGTTACTGTTTTACAAGTATACTAATAATTATATTGTTTGGCCTATATGTTTTAGTGCCTCTTAAAATATTTATATTCTTTTCAGTCCATTCCAGTGATTAATGGAAGAGATTTACAGAACCCTCTTCTTGTTCAACTTTGTGATCAATGGGATAATCCAGCACCAGTACCACATGTTAAAATAAGTCTCATAAAAGCTAGCAATTTAAAGGTAAGTTTAAACTTCCTTAAATACCTTTCACTTACTTAAAATTCTGGATTTTATTCTCATGATTATATCTTTAGTTGTCACATTTCTGCTTTTTTAAATATAGTTTTATATAACCTTCATTACTGCTTAGTATAAATCAGCCTAAAGATTTTTAAAAAGTATTTTGAGAAAGTAAAGTTCATATCTTACAAACAGTGCATCAAGGGGCCAACATTATGCACTTACGGCTACTCGAGTATTTATTATACAGCACCAGTAATATTTACATTTCAGATTAGGGTGAATAGATAATTAACACTGACAAAGTGAATGAAGACAGATACCACAATGACCAATAGTATGGGTTAAGGAATAGGTGTTATTGGGGAAACATACATGCTGAGGCAGACATTGCAGGTACCTTCCTGTCCTTACCTTATGGAGAGCTACCAGAGCCTGGGCAGAGCTGCTAAAGCTATACAGGTGTTGTATTCTAGGGTGAAGCCCCTCTCTTCTGTTGTTCTTTTTGTGGGGCAAGAATGAAGAGGGCATTGTAAAGTTTGGGGACAAATGTAGGATTGGCTACCAGAAAGTTCAAGATTAGGTATCACCTGTTTCCATGAGTATTGAGAAGCTGCTCAGAATCTAGTGCCTGGTGCAGAGTTGGAGACCCTCAAAAGAAGAAAAGCTGCGAGTCCTTGCAAAGTTGTATTTTTACACAATCCTTTCTGTTGGTTTAAGGAAATTCATTGGTCCCAGCCCGGTTGTTGCTATGCAGCACAGAGAGAGTTCCTGGGGTTATATTCAGACAGTCTTGAGTATATCCCTCCACAAATATTTAACAAATGTAATCGTAGAAAGAATTGATATTGTATAAAGGTGGCAGTTCTCTTTAATTAGTTCAGTCAGAATCCCAGCAGGGATTTTGCAGAACCTGAAAAGTTGATCTTAAAAGTCATACAAAAGATTAAAGTGCCAGGGATGGCTTGTGATACGTAGTAAAGTAATCAGAGTCAGGGTTCTTAAGACTCCTAAACAAGATTATGATATTTCTCCTATATGATCTGAAATATAAGACTTCTCTGGCTTAGCAACAAGGATTCAGTAGCCAGATGGGAGAAATATTTTGAGAGTGGTCGGAGACAATGGGATAGGTATAAACAGGACTTTATCCTGTCATTTCAGTTACTCCTCATTTTTCCTTCTCCAGCTGTTGTTTCTGCCTGCATGTACTACCTACTCTTTAGATTCTATTAAGCAGAGATGGGTGTTAGGGTTTAGGAGAGAGTCTGATTTGCTGCTATTATGGTCTACAAATTTACTTTTGTTCTAAATGATTGCTTCCAGGAAAGTTAGATAGTGATTATTTTTAGCCCCAGAATAAGGGTATGATTGTAGTTTCTAGAGAAGCATCTGTAAAAGGCGGAGAGACTCTTCTAACCAATTATTAAGAAGTGTGGCCACTTAATACTTGAAAGTGAAAGCCTTGGTTGTCACTATAAATGTAATATTGCAGCAAAAATTTGAGAGGCATATCCCAGTAAACATTCAAGGGAAAGATGAAATAGGAATGGAGATAGTGTTATGATCCCTTGACTTGAGTATATGCACATACAGTATATATTTATTTTTCTAGTGCCATCCCCCACACCTGCCCCAGCTTTAGAATACACCTTCAGTGTTTGTGTAACCAAACTTCATTTGATATATCAGTGATCTTGAAACAGTGAACATAGAATTCTGCAACTTAATAATGAAAATACATTGAATTCTACTTTAATTGATCAAGATGAGTTATTATCCTTTGGATTTTGTGATTACATATTACATTATTTGAACTAGCTCAAATTCAAAAACTTTAGATTTTAGAGTATGTGCAAACACAACTTTTAAAATAGGAATAAAGGCAAAGAATATTGTAATAGAAGAAAACTTGATTGATATCTAGAATTTTCTGATTAATCATTTTGTTCTGTTTTGTTTTTAGCTCACACCTTCAAACCAACAGCATAAAACAGATGACAAGGGCAGGGCGAATTTGGGAGTATTCAGTATTTTTGCCCCTAGGTAAGAACCTAAAGTTTGATAGTTATTGGTATTATAGAGATTGGTTTTTCTTATTACTTGCTGAAAGTAAGAGTAATAACCATCCTATATAATGTTAGGCAAGAGTTGGGACTGAATAGAAGTTGAGGTTCTGTGTAAATTGTCTCAAAATTTTTAGGTTATAACTAATGTAATTTGAACCCCTCCTCTTTTTTTTTCCCCATTAGGGGAGAACATACTATGCAGGTTAAAGCCATCTATAATAAGAGCACCATAGAAGGACCTACAATTAAGTTAATGATTCTTCCAGACCCTGAAAAACCTGTTCGTATCAATGTTAAATATGACAAAGATGCTTCCTTTTTAGCAGGGGGTCTTTTCACTGGTGAGTATTTCACAGTATTTAAATAAATTTTAGTGATAATTTGCCTTTTATATTAGTGGAATAAATTATTTATCCTAGGTATTCAGCATGATAAAAAATCATGCATGTAATAGCCTTTTAAATGGCAAAGAAAATACATTTGACTTAGCAGTGTCTACTCATCACTGTGTCCTGCTTTTAATGTCAAGAATAAACTGAAAGTTCATACATAAACTGAGAGCCTGAGGTAATTAGTTCCATTGGTGTTCATACATTCAGTGAACTGTGAAATTCTATAAAAGAAATATGAACTAAATGATGAGAACTGTGGAGTTATGCTCTACTAAATATGTTGTGATGTTATCTTAAGCCCATCATAACCAGGACTGTTTAGCTTAATTTGAGTGGAAACACATCACATCAGCATTTATGATTTCAAATATTTCAGAACAATGAACATTCACTAAATACCTGCTCTGTTCTGGTACTATGCTGGGCTCTTAGTTACAATAATGAATATGACAGTTTTCAATGGGTTTAGTGTAATGTAGGAGACAAGTGAGCAAATAATTTCAGTATAGTGTGGTAGATGGTAAGTCAATAGAAATTAGTTTTTGCTTTACACAGGCAACTTTCTGAAAGACTTCTGTTTTCTTAAAGGGATGAATTCCTGTAAATAGTTTTAAGTAGTGAATGAAGTACCCCCAAAATTTAGATTTAAAATGTTTTAACAATAATTTTTAATAATTAAGTTACATACATAGCCTTTATACTTTTTACTTATATGTATACATACCCTTTTATAGTTTATAAAGTAGACTCTATATACTTTGAATACAGTTTTAAATCTGGGGGAGGTAAGATCTATTTCCTGTGATTAAAAAACTAACAGGTGCCAAATGAATGTTACAGATGGTTAGTATAATGGGAATGTTATATATAATGATACGTTAGTTACTGTATGCTATTGGAAATCATAAAAGAAAGCAAACATTCTATTCTTGAAATACCTAAAGCATATGGTGGCCAATTGGCCTAATTGTAAGTTACTGAGCATACAGTCTATCCTTTCTCGTCTTGCATGCTAGAACTTAAAGCATTAGCAGATTGTGAAAATAAGAGAATGTTAGGAGCAAAGATATATTTGTTAAACTTCTGGGGGAAGCCTTGATGTCCAGGTTTGGCACTAGAGAATTGTCTATCATGATTGGTAAGTTTTAAGATGAATTGTTGGGGTATCCTGGTTAAAGACGAATTTTATTTTCTTCTTCATCAGAATTTTATTAACATTTAAATAAGATACATGCTTTAAGACATACAGTTATTTAACTATATCTATTAATTGAACTAGAAAGAAAATAATTTTTTAAATATTTACCATAACAGATTTTATGATTACTGTTATTTCTGAAGATGACAGTATCATTAAAAATATTAATCCAGCACGTATTTCCATGAAACTGTGGAAGCTGTCTAGCGGTGGGAACCGACCACCAGCAAATGTAAGTCATGGAATATAAAAATACGTGTGTATATATTTGAGAAATTTACTCCATTCCTTGGGATTTAAAAAAATTACATCAGCACATGTTTCAGAATTATTTCATCTGAAGGACAGTAGGACAAGACAAAGCCATTAAATATCGTGAAGGGGTAACATAGAAATAAGATAACAGAGATATGTGATTGATAGTTTACAGGGGAAAGAGAGGGAGAATGGGAAGAAGAGCTGGAGGGTCTAGAACAGTGCTGTCCAATAGAAATATCACACCTGGTATTTAACTTTTCTAGTAGCCACAGTAAAAAGGTAAAAATAAATAAATAAAATTAATTCTAATGTTAACCTAATATATCAAAGTTACCATTTCAACATATGCTCAATATTATAAAAATTATTAATGAAATTTTACATTCTTTTATCTTACGAAGTCTTTGAAATTTGTGTTTTTACATGGTATCTCAATTCAGACCAGCTACATTTCAAGTGCTCAATAGGCACATGTAGCTATTAGCTACCATACGGACAGCGCATTTCTGAAATAAATCTTAAATTGGGGACTATATCTTAAAGCTTGTCATAGTGTCTTGATTTAATAATCTACTTCAGCATTTATGGTTCCTTTTAATCATCTGTTTCAGAAACTAGCTTGCTTAATTTAATAGTCTGAAAGTTTACCAGTTGAGCTACCTGAATCTTCGCTTCCTTAATTTAAACCATCAGTCCAATCAAGCTGCAATTACCTTAAAATAGTATCACCATAGAGATCTATTATGTGCCCTTTAATATGGGATGTCTTTCCACTGTGACCAATCTCACATTGTGCCTTACATGTATTATAGAGATATATACATGTGTGTATACTTGTATATAAACTACAGATGTCATCTGGATTCACACCTTCAGTTCAGGAAAGTTTTCATCCTAAGTATACTATGTTTAAAGTTTGTCGTTTTTCCTTTCCCTCTTCTCTCTCACTCCCCTTTCTAGGCAGAAACATTTAGTTGTAATAAAATAAAAGATAATGACAAGGAAGATGGCTGCTTCTACTTCAGGTATTTCTCAAGTCATTTCATATTTTTATGCATGTTTTGTTACAAAGTAATTCAACCTTGGGGATACTTGTGGGCTCACCGAGGGAAAAGTAATTTATGATCAAATAGAAAATGTTAATATCTCTAATTTTTTGTCAAAGATTTTTGGGAAAGATTATGTCTTGTTTGTTTTTAACCTTCATAAATTGGTTTGGGGGAAGATGATTGTGATGGATATATTAGCATTTGAAACTATCAAAGTCATCAGAAGAATTTTTTTATGTTGTCAGAGTACTTTATAATTTATTAAGTGAGAGATTTCTATAATTCTAAGATCTTATGAAGAAACATTAGACCAGCTTTCAACATTTATGTGACTTGAGTGTGTTGCTTCTTCATTCTGGACCTCCATTTCCAAATCAGAAAAAGATTGTATCTGAAGTTTCTTCAAAAATTCTTTAAATTATCATCAATAAAGTCAAAAGGCTTATTACATTTGTTCAGTGCTTTTTCAGAGTAACTGGTAAAGGACCAGTTTTTGTTATTTTTAAATTCTCTTTTATAAACTGATGCTTTTTGTTTAATTTAAAAAAAGATCCACTGAATGTGTACTTGTTGTTGAGGTAATGTCACATTGCTAAAAAAGTTTCTGAATACTTTGAGTTTTGTAATTTTCTGTGACAGACCAGTAACAAAATGTTCAGACCAGCCCCTGTCCTTGGACCACACTTTGAATAACATTGTTTTTAGTCTTTTAGGTATGCTGAAATTATTACATGGGGCTGATTTAGACATCCTAAAAGGAGCCTACTGCCTTCTTTCAGTCCATTAAATTATCTTTCAGTGTATAAAGTCTACTAAAATGTTTGAGAATTGGGCTCTTTCATTTATTCCAAAATATTTACATAATTTTTTTCAACTGAATCCTATTTTAGCATTTGAAGGCATCAATTTGAAGAAAACTTTTGGTAAATATTTTAAAAATAATCACATGTATTTTGAAACTACAGAGGTGTTGGTTGTACAACAGTGTGAATGTACTAAATACCAGTGAATTTATGCCTTAAAATGGCTAATTTTATGTTATACGAATGTTACCTCAATAAAAAAATGTATCACCTACACTGTCAGTATAATAAAATGTCTTTCTATATGTTGGATATTTTTGAATGAATGAAAATATTTGAGTTCCTAATGTGTGTTTAGGGTTTTGCATATAATCTCATTTAATTTTTTTTTTTCTTTTTTGAGACAGAGTCTCACTCTTGTCACCCGGGCTAGAGTGCCATGGTGTCAGCCTCACTCACAGCAACCTCAAACTCCTGGGCCCAAGCGATCCTCCTGCCTCAGCCTCCGGAGTAGCTGGGCCTACAGGCGTATACCACCACGCCCAGCTAATTTTTTCTATTTTTAGTAGAGACAGGGTCTCACTCTTGCTCAGGCTGGTCTTGAACTTCTGACCTGAAGGGATCCTCAGGCGTCGGCCTCCCAGAGTGCTAGGATTATAGGCATGAGCCACCATGCCTGGCCTCATTTAGTTTTTTAACCTTTTAAAAAGTGAGGTAGAAAACCCATAAAGTACAAAAAACGAGATAAGCAACTTTGTGATTTCTCCCAAAGTGAATATCTGTGTAGTGACAACTAAAGTCAAGAAGTAAAAGATTGCCATTATCATGGAAGTTCTACCTTGTGCCCCTCCTAGTCATTACCTCCTTCCTTCCAGCATGCTGTGCAAGTTGCACACACACTCATGTAAATACACACATACATAGCCACAGACTCCTGACTTGGTTTTCTTTAGAGTTCTGTTATCCAGGCACACATCCCTGAAGTCTCTGGTTTAATTGTGCCCATTTCTGAACTTTATATATTTAATGTGTTCTTTTGTATATGACATCTTTCACTTAGCATTGTGAGATTATCATATGACGTGTAGCTATAAATTCATTGTCATTGCTGTATTGAAGTCCACTGTGTGGACGCTACCATTTTCCATTCTACTGTTAATGGCTGTTTGCATTCTCAGTTTTGGGCTATTACACATAATGTCTGATAACACTGGTGCACATGTAGAAGTGAAATTGCTGGATCATATGTTTAGTGAAACCAAACATAAATGTGTATGTTTAACTTTAGTAGCTGCTGCCAAACAGTTTTCCAAAGTGTTTTTACCAATTTATATTCTCATCAGCAGCATATGAGAGTTCCTATTGCTGTATATCCTTACTAACATTGTTTAATTTCTTTTCTTTTTATTTTATTTTTTATTTATTTTTTTGAGACAAGATCTCTCTGTCTTTTGCCTAAGCTACTAGAGTACAGTGGCGTGATCATAGCTTGCTGCAACCTCAAATTCCTGGGCTTACTCAATCCTCCTGCCTCAGCCTTCCAAGCAGCTGGGACTACAAGCGCACACCACCCACACCTGGCTAATTTTTCTTATTTTTGTAGAGATGGGGTCTTGCAGTTGCCTAAGTTGGTCTTAAACCCCTGGCATCAAGGGATCCTCCTGCCTCGGCCACCCAAAATGCTAGGATTACCAGCATGAGCCTCTGCACCCAGCCCAACTTTTGGTGTTGTCAATCTTTTTAGGTTTAGTCTTTCGATGAATATGTAGTAGGGTGGCATCACACTTAGTTTAATTGGCATTTTCTTCATATATTTATTGGCCATTTAGATTACCTTTTGTGACATGCCTGTTCAAGTGTATTACCAACTTTTGTATTGAGGTTATTTTCATATTAATTTGTTAGGAGTTCTTTATGTATTATGGAGATAAGCCCCTTTTTTAGACATCTTTGCCCATACTTTGACTTTCTTTTTTTGTACTTTCTTTATGATAATCTTGAACAGCAGTGCTTAATTTTTATATAATATATATTCAGTTTTTGTATATATTCCAAATATACTAGAAAATAACATATACTCTGCATTTGAGGTAGTGTTCTATATTGCATTAGGTCAAACTTGCTAATCATTTTTAATATTTCTATATCTTTATTAATTTTTTTGTTTGCTCCATCTAGCAGTAATGGTAAATCTCCCAGTATGAATGACAGTTTGGGTGTTTTTCCTAGTGTTTGCTTTACATATTTTGAGGCTTTGTTATTAAGTACATACAGACTTAGATTCTTACAATATTTTCTGGCAAATTTAATCTTTTATCATTATGAAGTACTCTTTTTCTCTAGTAACATTTTTTGCCTTAAAGTCTACTTTGATAACCATATACCAACTGTTCATATGAATGATATGCAAAATCTGTTAGTGATCATGAGGGTTAGTGTCTGCATAATATATTTTTTCATTCTTTCGAGTGTGTTTTGTAAATGGCATTATAGTTTCTTTCTGATAATCTTTGTCTTCTAATTGAAAAGTTTAGGTCTTACATATAATTACCAATTCACTTGTTTTTGGATCTGCTATCTTACTGTTTTTTATTTGATTCAACTGTTCTTTATTCCTTTCTCTTTCCTGTTTTCTTTTTGATTTATTGTTTGTAATTGTTATTTTCTGCTCCTTAGTAACCTGTTAGTTATGCAGTCTTTCTGCTATTCTCTGATTTCCTTAGAGAGTATAATAACATGCATACTTGGCATACCAGTATGTAGTAATAATTGGTATTTTTTTTTACCTTCTTGAACAGTTCATGGATCTTAGAACAATGAATTCCATTTTCCTTCTCCCAACGTTTAGACCTCTTTCTTGTGTGTGTTAAACCTACGAAGGCATTATTATTACTGCTTACAGTCGATGTTCATTTAGATTTACTCATTTGTCCTTTGTGTTAATCTTTTTTCCCCCTCCCAATAAAGGAAGTTGTTTCTACTTTCTGTTAATTTTGAACTCAAGGCTCTCAAGGCTTTCATCTGGTATTATTTTCCATCTGAGGAAATTCCTTTAGTATTTCTGCTGGTGATTAGTTATCTCATTATTTTTACCTGGAAATATCTTTACTCCATATACTTGAAGGATATTTTCACTGGGTATGATATTCTAGGTTGGCAATTTCTTATAGTACTTTCAAGCCATTCTTCATTATCCCATCATTCTGTTGAGAAGTTAGCTGTCAGTCCTGTTCACTTAAAAGAAATCCTTTTCCCTTCTTTGGCTGTCCTCTGAGTTTTGCTTTCAGGAGTTTTACTATGATGTACCTGTGTGTGGATTGTTCTTTTGTATCCTGCTGGGTTTTCATAGGCTTTGAATTTTGTGGTCTTCAGTTTGGAAAAATTGTCACCCATTATTTCATCAAATACAACTTTTGTCTCATTCTTTTCATCTTCTACCATGCTTTATTATAAGCATGTTAGTCCTTTTTGCACTGTGCTCTCTCTTAACCCTCTTTTCTCTTTTTCCCATTCTTTTGTCGCTCTTCTTTCTAGATATTTGCTTTGAACTATCTTCAATTAACTAATTCTCTGTTCAAGTGGCATCTAATTTGCTAGTAAATCCCTCATTGAATTTTTTGTTTGGCATTTTCAGTTCTAGAACTTGCATTTAATATTTATAAAAGTTAAGTTCTCTGTTGGAATTTTTAACCTTGTATCACCTTGAGTAATAATCAGTTTATTAAAATGTACCTAGAGTTCCTTTAGCTCTGTTTTGATTGTTTCTTGCTTTCTGTTGGTTTTCATTCTCTTGCTTCTTCATGTATCTGGTTATTTTGTTGTTGTACCAGGCATTTTATTTATGAATATTTATAAAAATAATCGAATGTCTAGGATGATATGTTTCCCCAGAGAGGGTTTACATTTGCTTTTGTCAGTTGTCTAGGCCATTACCAGTCTCTTACCACTTCAGTCCGTTTTCAGAGACTGAGATGATTCAAAGCTGAGATGCATTTCTCTTCAGAGCCTATCTGCTTTAGGTTTGCCTATGCCGCTAGCATTTGCTCCCAGGAGTGAAGCAGCCTTAGATGTGAAGCTCATCTCCCAAGAGCCTCCATTCTATCTTATATTCTACTGAGTTATTTTTTACTTTAGCTTGTTAGCTGTTGAACATCTTAAAACGTATGTTTTCTTGTATGGCTATTTTCATCAAGAGGGGTTGGCCTGCCATTTGGAAGTGAAAGTCTTGTTTTAATTCTTACTGTAACTTTCTTAGGAATTTTCCTTTCAGAGAAAACAGCATAGAAAAAGGTTAAATAATTTTCTTCAAGATTGCATAAATGTTACGGTGCTGGGACTTCAATTCAGATGTGTATTCTAAGCCTGTGTACTTTGTACTATATTGAGCCAGTATTTTGAGAATATGAATGTTATGCCAGAGAGACCTTGGGGATCATGAGCCACATTGCACATGTCAGGGTATACCATAGAACATCATTCATATTTCTTTGTGGTAAATAAAGTGCTACCAGAACAGGCTAGTGAGTGCCTTTTCTTGGACACTAAGTACCCTTATTGATAATTAAATCATAGTAAATACCTAGTATGAATAAAGTTAAAATATTTATTTTTCTATTCTTTATTTATATGTTTATTCATCAAGCATATATTGAGCTACCTGTATAAGCTATGCTTTCTGTTAAGAACTAGGATTCAAAAACTAATTTTAAAAAATTTCTTGTCTTTGGGGAGTTGATATTGTCTCCTGTACATGCAAACAAGTAAGCCACCATTCTCACTGGAGGTGGTAGTAAATAGGAAGGATTTGGGGAAAGGGTTCTTAGAAAAGCTTCTTAAAGAGATAGCCCTTGTACTTGATTTAGAGGCAATGAGAACCACCCACAAAAATTTCTGTGTCTATTGTTTATTTCAGAGCCTGATCAAAGGAGGTATGGGTTATAGTGAAAAGAAGTAAGCAGGTAGTTTGGCAAACTTAGTTTCAGTTTGATTAAATCTGTAGTGTGCTGATAAACCAGTTCTCTTGAGGGAAAAAAAAAAAAAAAGCCTTGATTTGTACTGTTTGCTGATTTCCATAGTGTAAATATTCCCACCGTGGTGGAAGGGTACCAATGATTTAACAGCTGGCTCACAAAATTCCTAAATATTTAACAGTGGGCCTGGCCTGGTGGCTTACACCTGTAATTTCAGCAATTTGGGAGGCTAAGGCCAGATGATTGCTTGAGGCCAGGAGTTTGAGAGCAGCCTGGGCAACACAGAGTCCCCATCTCTACTGGGCGTGGCGGTGTGCATCTGTAGTCCCAACTATTCAGAATGCTGAGGCAGGAGGATTGTTTGAGCCCAGGAATTCAAGGTTACAGTGTGCTCTGATTATGCCACTGCATTTCGGCCTGAAGGACAAAGACCTTGTCTCTAACAAAACAAAAAACACACACACAGAAAAACCAAAAAATATGTAACAGTGGGCTTTTTGAGCCCCATACAAGCTGGCTTCTGCACCTAAAGTTAAAATATTTAGAATAGTATTTAAATGGAAAATGAGGTCACATAGAAGATCAACAGGGTGTCCTATAATTTTGAAATATAAAACTTTCCCTTGGAAATTTATAATGTAGGAATGAAGCAAAATTTACTTGACATATAATTTAGCATTTTTTGTGTGTTTTACTACTTTCTCAACTTTATATTCCTATTCTTTCCATTTTTACCATATCCGGAACCTTTGTTCCAGATGTCTAAAAATGCGCGGGTAAGAGTGACCTGGATGAAACCTAATATGCAAGAAATACTTGTGGAATGAATGAAGATGAATGTAATATTAGTTATTCTATTCTTCTTACTCATTTATTTTTTTGAAAGGAACAGAAATGTTGACGCTTTGGATTCCTTCGCCCTTTATTTAAAAATTATCAGTAATCAATCTTATCTCTTTCTTTTTAATTTAGGGATAAAGTTATTCCTAACAAAGTGGGGACATATTGTATCCAGTTTGGTTTTATGATGGATAAAGCAAATATTCTCAACAGTGAACAGGTTTGCTTATTTTCTTTGCAGTCCACAGTTAGCCATACATTTTCTTGCTTAGTTTATGAATGAAATGTTTAGTTTAAAAGTGAATTAATTATTGGGTTCAAAGTATAAATAATTCAATTTCTAGGAAAATTCAAATAGAACATATTTTAATTTGTTCAATAATTGGACCTGATGCAGTAGGCACTTTCCATCTCTCTTTTTACCAAAGACTCAGTAAGCATTTTAGTATGTAGCATGGTAAAGGTGCTCGTGTCAACCATACATGAAAAAGCCTAAATTAATAACATTTCAGTTATTAAAATTCTAGATAGTTAAGTTCAGGGCAGTTTTAACATACATCATCTCCATTTAATATTGTCAGTGTACTAATTTTAAAAAATTACCTATATATTTTAATGCCCCTAAATTTGTTCTTAGTTGGTTATAAACATTAAGAAATTAATCTGACCTGGCTTTTATTTTGAATTTTAAAAGTAAATTGATTACTTTTAAAGGATTAATGGAAATAAATTTTAGAGGGTAACATTTCATTTAGTATATGTCATCATTGTCTTCCCTTAAATACTAAAGCATCAATGTATTGTTAATCAGAATGCTTCTTTTGTTTTATAAGATTATAGTTGATGTTCTACCTAATCAGCCTGTGAAGTTAGTTCCTAAAATTCAACCACCTACACCAGCTGTTTCTAATGTTCGCTCAGTTGCCAGTAGGACCTTGGTCAGAGATCTACATCTCAGTATTATGGTAATGTTTATTTTCTTCCAAAACTACAAAGGGTAACAAGAAAAAATTATTTTTTATTTTAGAGTGCAAAATGGTTATTATAGAGTCAGATCAATTATTCACTTTAAGGTTATATGGAAAATTTGTGCAGATGAACTAAATATTTGTAAGCATCTTTGTATTTGAATACAAAAATAGAACACGTAACATTATACATAAAATACAGATATTATACCAGGGAAGAAGTAATTCAAAATGCAGAAATCTACCTACCTTTCCTAATACATACCTTTACTCCCCTATTTCATGTATATATTGTGAATGTATATTAACTGTATTGATTCTTAAATGTCCAGTTCACTGAGGGGTCAGAAGAAGTTAAGTATTTTGAAGAAATCTGCTGTGATAACTGATCATAGTTAAGAAAATCAGATCTCCTCAAAGCTGCTGATTACCCAGAGAGTAAGCAGCAACAGGGCTGCCAAAGATACTAACAAAAACATGTAAAGCACAGTAGTGGGACTTCACCTATCTGGAAAATTTGGCTGGTGGGATACTTAACTACAAAGTTTATTTTCTTGTTTTAGACAAGTGGTTCTTCTTCCTCATACATCTTTGGGATAAGCAGTTCCATGGAATTATTAATACTACAAGGATCTTTGAATTCATATAAGCACCAAATGTCTGAATCATATAGGATATTTCACACATACAAATATATTGCTTTTCAAATGTATGCAGATGCTGAAGTTAATAAAATAATTAAAAATTATTATAAGTTAATAATATCTTTGTTATTAAATACTTTTTCATATCAGGTGCTAAAAGTACATAAAAAGGTGAAATTAAAAATAGGAATTCTTGTAATTTAGAAAGTTAAGAGCCATTGTGTTAGATAGAAGTTTCTGGTTCTTTTATGATTTCTGAAACTGTTTACTGCCTGTGGAACACTTAAAACTGAATTCTGTGCTTAGATTAAGAAGTAGGATAATTGAATGTTTGGGGCTCTGTAAATAGACGTCTTATTTCTGATTCATACATGCCCTTCTCTGGGTTTAATCTTCTAACCAGTTCTTCTGATTAGTTATTTTCCATTGTTTATTTTAAGGATGACTACAGCAATCATACCGGAATTGATTTGGTTGGCACTATTATAGCTACCATTAAAGGTTTTAATGAGGAAGATACTGACATCCCACTCTTTAATGGGAAAGTTAGAACACTTGAATTTCCTTTTGTGAATGGTTCAGCTGAAATCACGGTAAATTTTTATATTTTTTGGTAAATAAGATTTCTGTATTTAAACCACCATATTTAAATACCTTTTCTTTTGTATGTATAGTTATGAAGATGCTCCAATCATAGCACTAAATTGGAAAGTCAGCAGAAATATTTTGTGATCTTACTCTAAGCTATTACAAATTGAACCCAGAATCATTATTGCTATTAATAAGACCCCCCTTTTTCCTATGGGATGACAGATAGCTTTCTCTGATTCTACTGGTTTTTAGCTTTAGTGATTATATGATGTTCATGTTTTATTGAAAAACTGCCATTATGTGGACAGAAACAGAATAAAACATAGCCCAAGTGAAATTTAATTAAAAAGTTTATCTTTGTTGTTCATTTTTTTCTAAAATGAAAATAGTTTTATTTGTATTAAAAAATACACAGTATAAGAAACTTCATAAATAATTTCACCGCTCAGATAATGATGATTAGCAATTTAGTATATAACATTAAAGTCTCCATATATACACTACTATTGCCTACATACCATGTGTGTATGATTTATATACATAAACATGTTTATATTTGGATGTAAAATTTCATTAATATAACTGCGTTTATAAAAAATCCTTTCCTGTTTAATGTATCCGATATATTTCTTCATCAGTAAAAATAAGCCTACATCATTGTATTAATGACCACAATTTATTTGATCAGTCCTTAGTGAAAATTTAGTTTCTTTCTAAAGTTTCTTTTTATCAACAGGGCTTGCATAAGCTTTCTTCGACATACATTTGGTCTTTGTATCCATGGGTTCCACATTTATGGATTCAACCAACTGTACATCAGAGATATTGGGGAAAAAAATGTGTCTGTGCTGAACATGTGTAGACTTTTTCTTGTCAGTATTCCCTTCAGTATTTATACATAGCATTGTAGATAGTATTAGGTATTATAAGTAATCTGGAGTTGATTTAAGTATATAGGAGGGTGTGCATAGGTTATATGCAAATACTATACCATTTTATGTGAGGGACTTGAGCATTCTTGGATTTTGATATCCATAGGGGGTCCTGGAACCAGTATCCCATGGATTCCAAGGGATGACTGTATATTCTTTTGCATATGTTCGTTATTTCTTTAAGAAATTGCTGGAAGCAGAATTTGCTGGAGGCAGGACATGCACATTTTAAGCCTTTTGACAGTTATTGCCAATTGCTCTATATTTCCACCAGAAGTATGTGTCCATCCTCCTCATATTAGCAGCACTAGATATGAACAGTTTTAAAAATTCTAACCAGATTTCCTATTTAAAAAAATGTTCTTTGTCATTAGTAAGGTTGAATATTTTTCATGTTTTTGATCTTTGTAGAATTGTGCACTGACTTTTTTCTTTTGGAATGTTCATCATTTTTTCTTAATTATATATTAAAGATATTAATGCTCTTTTGTATATAAGTACTTTTTCCTGAATTTTTTTAGATGTTTGCCTTTGTTTATATTGGAGGGGCAGATTATATTCACAATACTATCTTTAATATTCTTATGCCTTTAATCTTTGGTATGTCTGGATTTTATTGACCCTTTTCAAATTCGTTAACTAACTTTGTTGGTATCCTTATTGAATAATTCTTTCTGTACTAATAAATTTGAAATGTTAACTTTTCTTATATTTTTGTTGTTCATTTTGTATATAATCCATTGATAATATCACATTGTTTTAATAACAGGCTTATAAACTGAGAGCCTGCCAGCTGCATCTGGCCTAAAGACTTGTCAATCGCCCATTAAATATGGTGGTATATGCCTGTAATTCCAGCATTTTGGGAGGCCGAAATAGGAGGGTCGCTTGAGGCCAGGAGTTTGAGACCAGCTGGAGTAAGAGAGAGACCCACCTCTACCCCCTGCAAAAAAAAAACAAAAAAAGGGGCGTGGTGGCATGCACCTGTAGTCCAAGCTACATGGGAGGCTGTGGTGAGAGGATTGCCTGAGCCCAGAAGCTCAAGGTTACAGTAAGCTATGATTGCACCACTGCACTCCAGCCTGGACAACAGATCTTGTCTCTATTTAACACATTAACTGTATTTGAGTGTTTTTAACTCATGCTAGTTTTGAGCCTGGGGCCTC